AACATAGAAATAATTACTTTACATGGTTTGGACTTTCTTTATTGATACAAACTTAAGGTCAATTTTGTTATATGTATATTTATCTCTTACTTAAGGTATTGTATTTATGCAGCTCTTTAAAAATGTAATGTTTAATTAATAAATATAAATTAATAGAGAGTCATTTGACTAAACTTGTAGTCATTTTAGTAAGGTTTTCTAGATATACAGAGATGTATTTCAGATGGATAGGTATTCTTCAATCCTAAAAATCTACAGAATATGGTATTTAAAATGTTTTAAGAACTTAGACTTTTCTTGACAGTAAGACATGTATGCTACCGGCAGCACCAATTACCTGAGAGAGGTTGATGGGCATCAAAGAAACTTGTTATGGAATTTGCATTCAATGTGACAAGACTAGCCATCTGTGCAAGAAATTATTCTTGTATGGATTGCTTGTTGCTGTGTTGTATCAATTGGACATGCAGGACCCACAGAAATGTGCTGACTTTTTCAAATGATGGGTTGGTCCTTTAGTGTTCCTGTTTCACAGAGAAAACTACCAGACAATCTGCAGGACACAGTAAAAAGTAACTGACAAGCTGCCAATATAGGAAAAACAGTCTTTTAAATTTACTGCTTCATGGAAAAATCTGCCAGATACTATGGGCCTGTAGGCTGAAGATGGATGGCTCAACATTACAGAAGAACTTTGGATAACTGTCCAGGCAGCAAGATGTCTCTGTCAATTCTAGAGTTTTGGAAGTTGCTTACAATGCACTTCCTGTTTATTTAGGTAATGTATCTTTCTGGGGTCTTTGATGGAGTTGAAGATAGATAGTTATAGTTTTCTTAGTTATGATCAAAGTTAAATTAGATATGAAGCTTTAGACTCACATAAAAATATTGTAACTGTAATTCTTTCATGATACCTCTATTGTTACATGTAATTTTACTATATTAAAGTTAAAATCTTCCTTTATATTTAGACAGGAAAGGGGAGATGATGTGGGATTCCCTTCTGCATGCTGTGAATATATTACCACTGGTTAATAAAGAAGCTGCTTTGGTCTATGGTAGGGCAGAATAAAACCAGGCAGGATATTCAAAGAGAGATATAGAAAAAGTAAGTGGAGTTAAGAAAGATGCCATGTAGCTGCTGAAGGAGAAAGATGGGGGAACTTACTGGTTAGTCACGGCCCCGTGATGATTCATAGATTAATAGAAATGGGCTAATTTAAGATGCAAGATACACCTAAACTCTAGGCCAAACAGTATTGTAATTAATATAGTTTATGTGTGATTATTTGGGTCAGGGTGGTTGGGAAACAAAGCAAAGTCTCTATTTACACTTAGTAGCTTAGTGTGACAGGTTATAAGGTACACATATTACTTATTTACCCAATGAACAGGATTAAAGACATCTCCCAGAATCAATGAAACTGTTGGCATTTTTTGAACACTTAGGCAAGTATTTCAAGCAAAAATGATAGTTTATCTAGCCGTACTACACTACATTGTGTTAAGATTCCTCTGAAGTGTATTACTGAGGGAGACTCCTTACACATGGGATGGAAAGTTAGGCAGGCTCTATGCCCACTCAAATTCTCAGTCTTCATGGAGTTGACAGGAAGTTTTTGTTAATTCTTCTCTGGTGCCATAGCAAGTATATAAGCAAGCGTGGGATTGTCAATTGACTTCTTTGTGACATTTTCTATATTGGGGTGGGAGGGTAATTTTTAAGAATAGTTCGCAGCATCCCTCATTTATGCTTTATTCATTCCGAGCAAAGGTGTAATAGAAACCCCTCGTGAAGCCACATTTCCAAAAAGTACACGTCCCTTTTTTGTTGCTTTATTATATGGAATCATATACTATACCGTAATATGTTTATCAATGGTAAGCTATACAGATTATAACATATAACATATTATATGTCATATTATGCATACAGACAGTATTCATAGGAGTCTATAAGATTTAAGCTTGTATAAATTTGGCCTCTGTTATTCTCATGGTGTCAAAGTCATGCAATGATACAATTCTAAGAACATATCCCCATGAGGTAAAGCAAGAATACATTGGACTGAGGATGGGGATAGACTGGGAATGGTGGTTTCACTACGCTACTGTAGCCTCTTTGTGTGTCTGGATATGCAGAAAGTTGGCTTGCTCAAATTGCCTGTGGAGTCTGAGTCATATTTTCCTTATAACTGTAAAGACTGGGCTAATGCAAGCATGCCTTCTTACTGTGTTCCTCAATCATATATAATGCCTGGCCTCACTGGAACATTTTAAAATATTAAGGAGTTTATTATCAAAGATTTCAATAATCATATGGTACTATAACACATGATTTTAAGTATTCTGAAATGTGTTGAATAATCACATAAAATGAAGAACTGCCATTACCGAATTTCAAATACAATATTGCATTGAAAAGAAATGTATTGGATATAAACATTTGATTAACAGATGATCTGCTTAAGCCATGAGATGAACTTATACACTATTCAATTTTTATTTAATTTATTATTGATGATAATGTCCATCTTTCATTCTCCTTGTTCATTTTTTCCCCAAGCAAACAAATAACATGAGTTTATTTTCTTACTCCTCTGAGGGCCAGAATTTTGAAGTCCAATCCAAGTTCAACAAACTGAAGCCCATGTGCTATTGAACTGGCACCCTCTAAATGAGGCAATAGGGAACCATTTCCTACCACCCACGGCATCTAGAGGGACCATGTGGGTTCATTGGTTTGTGATCCTTCATCTCTTTTTGAAATTCTACTTAAAAAACATTTTTTTTCATTTATTTTACATATCAACCAGCTTCACCTACCTTCTCTCTTCCCATTCCCTCCCCCTTCCTACCTATCCCTTCCCCATCTGCTCCTCCTTCAACACCATTCAGAAGGGGGCAGGCCTCCCATGGGCTTGCACAAAGCATAGCATATCAAGTTGAGACAGGACCATGCTCCTCCCCTTATGACAGATGGTGTGAGGTAAACCAGCATAGGGAACAAGTTACAAAGGGAGAGGTCGTGTTCTGACTGTTAGAACCCTTACTTAGAGACCAGGATACGTGATTGTTATAAACATGCAAAGGGCCTAGGTCAGTCCCATTCAGGTTCCCTCATCATTCATGAGTTCTGGCAAGCTCAGACCAGCTCTCTCTGTGGGTTCCCTCATCATGACCTTCTGGCTCATATAATCCCAGATGCAGAGATCCACAAATAAGCACTGCACTGAGCTCTGAGAGTCTTGACCAAGTTTTTATTGTAATTTATAAAGAATCAAATATTCAGAGATCAGCTCAGATTGACTACTATTTATTTATTAGGTATATAAAATAACAATCTGTTTGTACATTTCTAATCGGAGCCTTCTATGGGTTTCTCTAGTTTCTCTCAAAATGTGATGTGTTTTATCATTTATACCAGAAATATAGTCATAGGTATTATAGGCTAGCCTCAAACTCACAATAAGGTCAGGGGTGTCCTTGAACTTCTGACCTTCCTTCCACTAATACTCTAATGCCAGGATTACTTGTATTTATCATTATTCCACGTTTCATGCAGTATAGGAAATATAATTCAGTGTTCTGTGCATGCTAGGCAAGTACCCTGCCAACTGAGCTATATTCCCAGAGCTTTCTTTATTTTGGTTTGAATGGTCCATGGAGAGGCATAAATAGAATAAGTATGTGTTCTGAACTTATTTAGATATTGAATTTTTATTTTTATGTATGTATGTGTATACATATGTTCATATATATGTATGTTGATCATTTTGTATCTGAGAAATACTATTTTGTGTGTAGTACCAGGGTTTTCTTTCTTTGTAATATTTCTTCAATTTGCTCATATTCTGTTATAGTATTCTGTTATAGTACATTTCTAATGCACAAAATTATGCCAATGTGGTCATGCAGGAAGCTAAAATATTAGGTAGAAAGAGGATATATTTTTTCTCGAAAGTTCTAGAAATAATATAACAATAATATCATATTGTTAAGAATGAGAGTTTAGATTTGTTACTAACAAAGAAAACAAGTAGCCACCAAAGGAAGAGATGGACATAGATAGTTGCCAGATATATATTCAGAGATGGACATAGATAGTTGCCAGATATATATTCTCACACTGTCCAAGAGAAGGAAATTGTCTCTGTAGGGGAGTTCTGATGCTTGATTTGTAGTCAAAATGCTAAATAAATGCTCATATACTTCCTGAAGTCATCACCATTTTCATGTCCTTGACTTCTTTTCTCTTGCTGTATCCACAGAAATATTGACAGTGTGATTTTAAGCTGCCCATAGATCTTCTTGGCCCAATTCTTAGAGGAGTGAATTAAGGAGAGATTTCATTTCATGTAGACAGTCACACATACCTGAATGTATTTGGGTAGACTTCACCATATGTAGACACTAACATAAATAGCCATCTGAGTATATGAAAGGAGATATTTACCACATAGAGATACTAACATATATAGTCTTCTGAATGTATGAAGTGTGATCCTCATTACACATACACACTCACTTATATATTTATTTGAATCCATACAGTTCCAGAACTTGAGCATTTTAAAGGTGACTTGGCCTTGCATCATCCTCTAAAGATCAGATGGATCAGTGACATAGCTGTGAATGCTTAATCTATTACAATTTGTAAATTTTGGATAGGTTTTGTTGTCACTGTTTGTTTGTTTTTTATTCTTTTTGTTTTTGCCTATTAAAATAGCAAAAGGAGTTCTCTCACTATTAATTGGTTACCCATGGGACAATTTTTTAGTACAGGGATGTCTATAATCAGCAGAGTCAATGAAAATCCAAAAGAGAATCCAGGAAATGCCCTAATATTTGAATTTTCTCTCAGAGCTATGTAGGAATCCTTCTGTGAACCATAGAAATAATAAATGCTGAGTCCATTGGAACATAATCTCAATCAGCAAGATGCCACTGCTTTCCAGATTTCCTCACAGGCTCTGCTAATTTCATGCCAAAACTAGCAATGAATTTCTTCCTTTTAATCTCCCCTAATGCCTTAGTTAATTATTGTCATTGTTCTGACTCCCCATTTCTCAACTGAACCAGTCAGAGGAGGCTGGATATCTGCAGGACTTAATCTAAGACCACAAACAACCCTAATCCATCTGAAAAGGCAAAAATAAGACAAAAGAATAAAAGGAATTACTAACAATTTCCTGGCAACCCTTTAATCTACTGGATTGCTGACTGGACATAGACCGGGATGAGGGATATGAAGGGTCTGGAAGATTTCTCAAGTTGATTGTCACAGGAAAGCTGGCTGAGGGGAGGAGGAAGCAGGAAGACAGTTACCTGGCATCTCAGTGAGCCTTAGAATGGTGGTGTTTCTCCCCTGGCTCTCCATTATTCTATGGTAAGAATTTTTTTTCTGATTTTCCTCCATTTTATCTTAGAGGAAAGGGAGAGCATATATGCACTAGGTGAAATTTAAAGTGCACAGTGAAAATGAACAGGAATGGTGTGTCTGGTATCTAGGATGGGGTAAACTAGCACGCATGAAACAATGGATTTTCTCTGAGGCCAAGTGTGAGAACTTTTGACTCTCCACCATCAGGCTAGAAAACACAAAAGCTCAACTTGAAGATGAAGGCAATTTCTACTCGGAAAATGTCAGTCGGATTCTTGACAACCTGCTGGAAGGCTATGACAACCGTCTGAGACCAGGATTTGGAGGTAAGAGACTGCCTTGCAGTTAGATGAAATACTTGAACTTTCATTCCATTCCGCTTTTGTAACCCTTCTGAGACCCAGAGGATTCAGAAGGAAGGCAGTGTTTGAGGGAGGGTACGAAGAGTTCATGTGTGCATTACTATCCCTTTCTCACTCCTTCCTCAGTCAGTGACCTTATGTAAGTTATTTGAATGCTATAATCCTCACTGTCCTAAACAGAGGTATTTGTGTGTATGGACCTCATTGACTCACAGGGTTATGGAAACGTAGAAAGAGTTTTTCCAGGTGTGCTACTTTTCTGGTTATTTGTCCTTTGAAAGCAATCAATACCGATGTGTTTTTTTTTATCATCATTAGTAGCAGTATTAACTATTAATAGGGCACACTGATTTTGACATCTTCCATCCCTTAAGACTATCCTAATGTGAATGAAATGACTTTAAAATAATTGTAGATTTTCAAAGTTTAAAAACTGAAGGCTGTCCTTTAACTTTCAGATATGTGAAAGGTTGTGTGGAGTCACTAAAGTCTAGTAACAGCACACATGTTAATAGCCCCAACCTTCTTGACTTTTGGTAGGTGCTGTCACAGAAGTCAAAACAGACATCTATGTGACCAGCTTTGGGCCTGTGTCAGATGTGGAGATGGTAAGTACATTGGGTACTCATATTTAGGAAGGAGAGCTCCAACTTAAGACTAATGATTACAGGTATTGCCATTCATCTCAGCACACACGGCGTGTATTTCCATTGGGAAGGCAAAGCAACTAGAGCAAATGATTGACTCTGCTTGGACTCTTGAAGATGAGTTAGTTTTTTATATTATAGTCTCTCTTCCATTCACTTATTATACAATGACTAGTCCTTCAAAGAGAAGAGTTTCTCCTTTTTTGTGAGGTCCTAGCAAATCACTCTTGTTATTTTAAAACTTCTTGCCATGTAAGAGTAGACTGATAAGGAAGACGCCGAGGTATACATATCATTTGTTATGTACCATCACCAGTGCATTTTATCCAAACAGTGAAAAGAGTCACTTGGACAGGTTCATGCTTTCCATCTTGTCCATTGCGGATGCATCAGTGGGAGTTCTGGAAACTCTGTTCCAGGTACAGATGGCTGTAGGATTCGTAAGAGGGTATTTTTGGAAAGTGGCAAGGAAAGCCTGGAGTTGTCTTTTGAACAAAGTGTATCACATACCTTCCTGGTTTTCAAATGGTATTTATTCTCACAAAGCTAAAATACAGGCAGCAAGACAGAAACTGTCATAAATGTCTTCAAAGAATTATGACATTATCTTTTCTTGGGAAAATTGTAATTATGTATAAAAGTTGCTGGTGACTTCTTGTCCTACTTTAGAACTGATATGAAAAGAATGAAGAAATGTGAATAAAAAGCAAAGGAAAGGGGAACTAGATAGACAGGACAAAAAGGAGGATGGAAAAAAGAATGGGGGAGGAAGAGAAAAGGGGAGAAATGAAGGAAGATACAGATGAGGGGCAGAGAGTGGGCAAGAGACCTTATCAAGAAATAAAAATCATAAGACTTGAAAAAGGAGAGTCAGTACTGGATACTTGTTATTTTAGCATATTTTTTTCCTTTAAGTTCTGCTTAGTTTCCAAAAAACAATTATAAACACTTGGAACTGCATCACTCTAATCAGGGTTTACTTTACTTTCATTTTGTCCATGTGTCTCTTCTTAGAGTACTTTTGTGTATTAGAATCTTTATGTTGCATGGTTTGTGATTGTATAGATATATTCTGTATGGAAATTTGTTTTTAAAATTTAATCACTATCTATAGAAATAAGCATCATAAAGTGGGAAGAAATTATTAGCAATACTTCAACATAGTAGCAAGGTATTTGTTGTTGACTTCTGTGATAGCCTCATAATTTTCTTTTCAAAATTAACATTATCCAGTAAAGCCATGGTTTAAAAATCAAAATTGTGGAATTTACATTAAATATTCTATTTTCTGTTTAAAATAATCTTGCTTTCATCTGCTTGTATATTCTCTGAGAACAACATCAGAAATCCATGGTATGCCGTCTTAATTTACTAATCATTGAAGGTTTGTGTTGTTGGGATTGTACTGCAAGGAAGTATTGTCCTCTGAACTGACTGTAAAGGTGAATGAGAGGCTGGAAGAATCGCTAAACTAGCTTAAGGGAAGGTAGGACATCCAGCAAGAAACCTGAACCATAGATATTTTCATGTGTTTTTCTTTCAAGTTAAGAGGATTACAGAGAAAAGATCGAGGTTGAAAAGTTGGCTGACTGGGTAGATATGGAGGAAAAATGTTGATCAGATTCAGGATGGAGAAGGAGTTTGGCCCAGTATATCTGTTTTATAATATTACAGACCTTGTGAGTCTGAGAAAAATAAGGATTCACCCAAATCTGTTTAGTATTAAAAACCCTTTACTGGGTATAATCAGTATCATTGATTCTAAAAATCATTATAGACTACCAAATTATTCCGCTTCATTAAGAAATTATTGGTATATGCTTTCTTGAGTAAATTTAGAATTACATATAAATAATGAATAAACTATTTCACAAGACATGCTCCACTTTGTGTGAATATTTGTTTTTTCTCTTAGGAGTATACAATGGATGTTTTCTTCCGCCAGACTTGGACGGATGAGAGGTTGAAGTTTAGGGGTCCTGCTGAGATCCTGAGCTTAAATAACTTGATGGTCAGTAAGATCTGGACGCCTGACACTTTTTTCAGGAACGGGAAAAAGTCAATTGCTCACAACATGACCACCCCTAACAAGCTCTTCCGATTAATGCAGAACGGAACAATCCTGTACACCATGAGGTGAGTTGTCCATTTATTTCTGCTGCCTTGAGGATGCATCCTCCACAGTAACCAGATGTACATATTTCAATATCTCCAGGCTTACTATCAATGCTGATTGTCCCATGAGACTGGTTAACTTCCCTATGGATGGACACGCTTGCCCACTCAAGTTTGGAAGCTGTAAGTTACACAAAGTTTCTGGAAGTCAAATAGATCACTAGAAATATGTATTCATTTGGCCTTAGCTGAAGACTAGGAAAAAGAAAAATTATATTTAGGAAACTCTCAGTGTGAGTTCAGGAGTATGCTGTCTGTCAATATTAGAAGTTTCCGTTAATGAGATGTTTAAAAAAGCAACAAAATATGTTTCTTTCTCCATAGCTAATGCAGGTAATGTTTGTTTTCAATGAAACAAAGTTAACCAGCTATATTTAATGTTTTGTGTCATTTGTTTAAAATATACAGATGCTTACCCAAAAAGTGAAATCATATACACATGGAAAAAAGGGCCGCTTTACTCGGTCGAAGTCCCCGAGGAATCCTCGAGCCTCCTCCAGTATGATTTGATTGGGCAAACAGTTTCTAGTGAGACAATTAAGTCTAACACAGGTAAGAATATTTTTAAAAATCATGTAATACAACTCCAGTGTATATTTTCAAAATATCTAGTATTTTATCTCATTAATATTAGATGTAACAGACTTAATTTATTATTTTGAAGTAATAGCTTCAAAATTGTTTGCAACTGGGTAAATAGGAATATTTGTGTAGTCTTGGAATGATTTTTCTTTGTGTAAATAAATGACATAGGTTTACCAACAAACCGATATTTCTCTTTGCATCTGATCAAGTAGTATTTTTATATATTTTTAAATCATGACCTCGCTTGTTCTCTTTCAGATCATGTTAACTTAAACACTTGCGAGTTTTATATCCACTGCATTCATTTTTCTGTCGACAACAACCCTACTAATGAGCGTGTCTTCCAACAGGTGAATACGTAATCATGACAGTCTACTTCCACTTACAAAGGAAGATGGGCTACTTCATGATCCAGATATACACTCCGTGCATTATGACGGTCATTCTCTCTCAGGTGTCCTTCTGGATTAATAAGGAGTCGGTCCCAGCAAGAACCGTCTTTGGTAGGCCTCACACTTTGCCTTCTATTTTAACTTCAATGCCTGTACTTTTCTGGTGAATATTGACAACTGTGTGTTCTCTCAGTACACGGAAGAAACAGAGTCACATCTGTCACAGAGACATGTGTCACATAAAATGACTCTTGTCTTTTTGTAAATCGTGTGCCGAAGTAGCAAAATATTGTCCCTTCAGCAATTCTGGCTCTTTTCTATAACTAAAGTGTGTCTCAGTTAGCAGTGCTCAGCATGAAGGAGAAGCCTGACCAGAAGGTGGTGGCACATGTTTTAATCCTAGTACTTGGGAGGTAGAGGATCTCTGTGAGTTTCAGGCCTGGTTTTACAGTTTTACTGAGTTCCAAGACAGACAGAGCTGTTACACAGAGAAAGCGAGAGAGAGAGAGAGAGAGAGAGAGAGAGAGAGAGAGAGAGAGAGAGAGAGAGAGACCTAATGCATCCGGGAAAATTGGTTAATACTGTAAATCCACTCATATCTCACTTTCACTGGGATGAATAAAGTGAAGTTGCTAACTCGAAGATTCCAAAGTAACAGTGGTGCACGCTTTTTTAATCCCAGCACCCAGCACTCGGGAAGCAGAAGCAGGCAGAGCTCTGTGAGTTCTAGACCAGCCTGGTCTACAGTGCGAGTTCAAGGACAGGCTCCAAAGCTATGGAAAAACCGTGTCTGCAAAACACTCCTCCTCCTCTTAAAAAAATCGCTACGGGGTGGCCAATGAGGGAGTCTTCTTACTAGCCAGCCCTTATTTTGAATCTCGTTACAGGATTCCTGATGCTAAATACTGCTCTTCTTTTTTTCTCATTGCAGGAATCACCACTGTTTTAACCATGACCACCTTAAGCATCAGTGCCCGGCACTCCCTGCCCAAAGTGTCCTATGCAACCGCCATGGATTGGTTCATAGCCGTGTGTTTTGCTTTTGTCTTTTCTGCTCTCATTGAGTTCGCAGCTGTCAACTACTTCACCAATCTCCAGTCACAGAAGGCTGAAAGGAAGGCACATACTCCAGCTCCGCCCCCTGTGGCTATATCAAAAGCCACTGAACCACGGGAAGCTGAGATTGTTGTGGTAATTGCTCCCTCTTCTACTACTGTTAGCCAGCAGATAGAGGAAGCGAGTTCAATCAGTGACAGCATACAAACAGTCCGAAACAGGATTTGTTGAACATAAATTATATAACCAGAGTTGCTCACCGCTTCCCAGGGTGAAGCTGAAGAAAAGCCTCCGTTGATCTTTGCTCTAAAGTTTTGATATTCTTTCATCATCCTTACTTGTGCTGGCAGACTCTAGGCTCTCAAAGGAGACTAGAAAATTCTGCTTAGCCTTTAGAAGTTTCCTTTGAACAGGCTCCCTTATAGTGACTAGGGAAAATAAAGTTTTGCTTTTTTTTTTTTTTTTTTTTTTTAAAAAAAAAAAGGTTCTAATGAGGCTCCCAGAGTCTGAAGGAAATAAGACAACTCCTGCAGCATGAGCGGCTTTGTGAGTAAATCTATAGGCCACGTTATTTTGTCAGGGGAGAAGGTAAATAGTGAATATAGGCTCTCTGAATGGATGTATGACCCATATATCTGATTTCCATGATCACATTTTCATGAGTGTATCAAGTACATGTGTGTCAGTGAGCTCATGTTCAAAGGCTTATTATTTACTGAGAAATGTTCATAAACTTTCCTTAAATGTGCTATATGCAGGCCTTTGTCTCTAAAGTTTATTGGAATCAGAGATAAACGATATATCCCTATTTAAAGGGTCATAAACATTCTTCCCAAATTTATTCTCATTTGTGAAAAAGTTTTTACCTTTTTTTAAAAAATAGATTAGAAAATTGATTGACAAGCATGCATTTTTCTTTTAATACAAACCTCGGAGAGTAGTCCTTGACTAAGAAGTATCTTATTCTGTAAATTTGAGTAATACAAATATTCTGAACAAATAATCATTATTGTTTAAATTGACTGAACATTTTCTAACCAAAAACCATATGTAATGTGGTAATGCCCTCATTTAGTGGAGATATGTAAAAGCTTTTTATATACTAATATGAATATATATTGGGAAAAAAGAATGAAAGAAAAGAATGCAAAGGGAATAAATTTTCCATTCTAAATTTTCTGCTTTTACAAATAGGAAATTCCTATCTCAGAAGTCATAGCTGAGCAGACATTCTTAAGTACCATGGTGTTTGCCAGATATATGACCTGGTGGAAAAAATCAAGAATTGATTGTAGAATTTCTGTTGTCTACAATATTAGAGTCTAAGGTCATTGCTCTCTAACAATGTCCAAAGGAAACGAAGGTACCTGAGCATGTACTATTGGATAAAACTCATTTTAGAACATAGATGACAGAATTCTCCAAAGTCCTCTTTTGACCTGGTGATATTTTCTGTGTATAATTATATGTAGAGAGAAAATATATGAATGCAGATATACTAGGAAAGTATTTATAACAAAAATATGCTTTAGGCTTAGTCTGACATGCATGCAAAACATTTTTCAGGCAAGTTAAGTTTTAATTGTTTAAAAACATATTTTACTTGGGAAAAAATGAATTCTATTGTATGTATACACATATAATCTACATCATCTAAATTTATATTTGAATTTAGCATATATCTTTAAAGAATTATTTATCAGAATTCAAAACTGTTTAAAAGGGGGTCATTGGAAAGGAAGAAGCTGAATTAATACAGTGTGGAGCTTACATCTAGTCTTTGCAGATAAAGTGGAACAAAGCTTGGTCATTTTCCCGAGTCATTTCCTCAGCTTCCATCTTGCTAAGTTTTTTTTTTTTTTTCAAGAGAAGATATTAAAGTCTAAGTTTGAGAAATAGAACAGGAAAGAAAGTTAAACTAATCAAAAATAGGATAAATAAAAGCAATTGAAATTATTTTTAATATACTCATCAATTTAATTAAATTTGGATTAAATTGGGGGAAAATGCCAAATCCTTTTTATTTTTACAATATACACTAAAAGAGGCAGGGCGCATAATTTCAAATCTTTGGAGAAGACTTAGAGCTATCAATAACTTAAGCTATTATTTTAAAGGTATAAGCAATTAAATGGTAGAATGTCAGATCCCAGGTATTCATATATAAACTCTCTTCTGTAACGCTAAAACAGTAGCATGATGAGATGGTCCTATTAAAAAATGCATTCAAATACCCTCAGAAAAATTTCTATAGCAACTTCCATTTGTCCTTATGAAAAGTTCTATTTTCCTGAAGCTTGCACTACTTAAAATATTTGAAAATAACAAATAGGATATATTTTTTTGTTTCTGAAAGGCTAAAGTGTAAAAATAAAAAAAACAAAACTAACCAAATCAAAAATATACACTCTAAAGGTATCAAAAATAAATACATATGATTATGTAGAACATTTATATTTCATTTGTTCATGGTGAAGCTCAGCAAGTGGCTTTATAGACTTGAGAAGAACAAACACAATTTGCACATTGGCTATTTATGTTATACAATGGCTTATTATGATTGCAAGGTCAGTTTATTTTTTTCCAAAATACCATGACATTTAAAAATGCCTATTCAGTTATAACCAGCACCTTATTTTAAGGAGCTGGCCATTGAAACTTCAGATTACTCTGGTGAAGTTGAAATGCAGGAATTGGGTTGCTTCCTTCTTACTTTAAAGGTCTAGGGCCTCTTTGTCATGCTCTTGAGTATGAACGCTCTCTATACCCACCACTTGTTCCCTCTAATAGCACATTTCCCGATATGGCATGTGTTCCTTACAAGAGATGTGACAGTTCTTGTGAATCTGCATGGAAAATCTGAATATAAAATTGACAGAAATTTCATTAGCAAGGGCATACAGTAACTATATGTTAATTGCTTCTTTATGCATTCTTTGTCATGCACCTGATGAGGGACTTTGGTAAAAATTTTCTTACCTTGAGGATATGTAAAGATTTTTATACAGAATATGGAGTGTCATCATAAGGTCTTTCCTTGAACGGAGCTTCTTGTGCAGCAAGAAGAGAGAGCCAATGGGAGAAATGAGTCCATGAGTATTTGTGATAACGGCTGTAGCTAGAGATAAAGGGCTGCCTGCAAATATCTGTGTGAAAATATCTAACTCATTTTGAAGGAGTGTGCATTTTTAGAAGAGTGATTTCAAAGATGAAAAGAGAAAGATGATCTTGGCAAGGGTAAAAACCCAAAGATAATTGCTAGGAACCTGGGCACAGAGAGGAATATAAAACTATTCTTTCTGCCTTCCCTTTCAAGGTGAAGGTAAATGCCATGCCCTGAACACGCTATAGCCAACTATGCCCAGAGATGTGAAGAACGGAATGCCAAAAGTTCCTTCTGCTCTTCCAAATTTCCCTAAGATTTCTTTGAATTACAGTGTTACTTCCCAGAAATAAGGGTTGAATTAAGATTACAAGATCTCGACTCTAAGAAGCAGAAAGCCCTAGGTTTCCCTTCCTCATGATTGTTCCATCCTATAAATTATGGGGAGACAGAAGTGGATTAGGTGAAATGTCATTTGTTAACATTTTGCCACACAGTTTATCAAATCCCCACCCAGCTTCTCAGTCTGTACCATTCAAACAGCAGCCTAGATTCCTTAATAGCACTGGTGCACCAGATGGATGCCAACAGAGATTTCTCAGAGGACTTTCTGGAATCCTCCATGATATCAATAATACTTGGTCCAACACAAACTTTAAAAAAAAATTATCAGTACAGTTCTAATTTTGCCACAATATTAACATAATGTTCTTGAGCACAGTTTATAAATACTGTTTGTTTAGTGTTTTGTTTGTTTGTTTTTGTTTTTTTTAATTTTGTCTTATTTTGATGAATTCATCGGCCAGCTCTATAAATAATTGTTTTGTGCATTGAGGAGTGGGACCTGATTAGATTATTTCTATTAAGAAATGTATTTGGAGCTTTGAGAGATTGCTCATTGGTTAAGAGTACTAAGTGCTCTTGCCGAGGATCCAGGCTCAGTTCCCAGCACTGACATGGTGGCTCATAAACTACCAGTTATTCCAGTTCCAAGGGAATCAATATTGTTTTCTGATCTCCTCAGCTACCAGGCACAGCATGCACATGGTGCCCAGACACATGTGCAGGCAGAAAACTTATAGAAATAAAATAAAAACTCAAAAATAAAAATATTTTTAAGAGATTACATATTTTGGCCACCTTATTTAAAATACTAGGCTAAAACAAATTATTTCCTTAATGCCTTATCCCTACACCAAATAACTGAGTATGATCTTGAATGCTCTAACTAAGGCACCTTTGCAATATAATGTTACTTAAAACAAAGAGGTGGGCTAAAAATACCCAGAGCAGGATGGCACTCAGCAGCAGGGGAGCCCAGGAAAATTTCAAAACCACAGGTGTTCCACTCAAAACCCTGACAGCCCCAAGCTGAGCTCTCATCTGGACTCTGACAAAAGCCTATTTTACCATCAACCTGAGCTCCCTTACAATAGAGCAGGTGGGGTCTGAAGCTAACTAACCTGTAGCTTAAAGGGTTTGCAAAAATTGCTTTCTTTTCATTTCAAAAATGTAATGTTTTTTTTTTCTCCTAAATTGGCACCTACTATCTTCTGGCTGCCAATTTTTAACTGCCTATTCAGTGTACAATATTAAATACAGAGCTCCTGCATTTTCTTTAGAATATTGCATTTGCTTCTACGAGAACCCCCACCTCCACCACCTCCCATTCGTTACCCATTACCCCCTGTCCAGTCACTGCTGGGCAGGGAACAAGCAGGATTCTAAGACGGCTATTCTCAAACTATTCTCCTAGTAGGCATTTGACAGTATCTACATATTGTAACATGTTGGGGTGAGTATGCTATTAGTACCTCGTAAAAAAGAGGTCTTGATATTGACCAATAATATGGATGACAGTCTTCATCCAGAAAATATTACCCAACCTAAAATGTTCGTATTTCAGAGTCTGAGAAACCCTGAGTAATGCTGGCCGGATGCATAGGGTAAAAACTACTAAAAGGGAAATTTCTAGCACCTGAAAAGGGTCTAAGTGAATTTCCTTATTATATTTTATTTTTTTTAAGTATAAAATGAGTTTAATATGACATTAAAGGTATTTTCAATGATTAAATAAAATTATTCATGTCAGTTTCCTCATAGTGCTCATCAATTCCTGGAAAATATTTACATTTTTGTTCATATGTTGATTGAACATAAGTTTCTTTTTTGTTTTTTGTTTTTTACTTTTTTTTTTATTGAGAAAAGGAGAAAAAAAAACAAGTTTCCACCTCCTCCCAGCCTCCCATTTCCCTCCCCCTCCTCCCACCCTTCTCCCCCTCCTCCCACCCTTCTCCCCTTCCCCCCACTCCTCTCCCCCTCCCTCTCCAGTCCAAAGAGTAGTCAGGGTTCCCTGCCCTGTGGTAAGTCCTAGGTCCTCCCCCCTCTGCCCATATCTAGGAAGGTGAACATCCAAACTGGCTAGGCTCCCACAAAGCCAGCACATTACGTAGGATCAAAACCCCGCGTTGAAAATGTACTATGTTCCATGTACTGGATAGGCACTCTTTTTTGTTGTTGTTTTGTTTTATAAGACAGGGTTTCCGTCTAACAGTCCTGGCTAATCTGGAACTCACTCTATAGATTAGGCTCCTTGAACTCCCAGAGATCCGCCTACCACTGCCTTCTAAGTGCTGGGATTAAAGGTGTGTGCCACCACCACCTTGCTGGCAAGGCACACTTGCTTGAACATAATGTGTCATGTTTCATTAAGATGTCATGGCATGAAAGAAGATGAGACTAAATAGAAGTAGTTAATTCTAGAAAAAACAAAAACAAAAAACTACAGGAGCTCTAAAGAGTCCAGAAAAGTGTGTGAAGGTGTTATCATCATTGGTGATGGCAGTGATGTATGAACTTTCTATCATATTTAAATGCATGGCAACAGGGGAACATAATTCCCAGCAAAAAGGAAATTTAGTTCAAGAAAATGCTAAGAATGAGCAGCAGACACATACTGCAGATAATTGAAAAGATAGAGCTAAGATTTGCTAAGCAAATATTTGTAAGCAACCACAGAATATACTTTGTCCAAGTTCATATAAAAGAGGAAAATATGCATGAGGAGAGGTGTAATAATACCTACATTGAAGATGAAAACTGAGGCTTACTTAGAGTTGGAGCCTTCGATCTTGATGGTGCAGCTAAGCCATATCACAAGTAAGTAGGAGATGTGGAATTGGAACATGGGGTTTAGGCTCCTGTCTCATCAACTCAGATGTTCCACAGAGCTTGGTGCAGAAGTGATGAATGGGCTCCTAGTTCCAGGCTAATGTTATTTTACTAGTGCTCAATCATAGTTGTTATCTCTCAACTAAGGTCACTGGACAATGTCTGACAATTTGGAGATGATAAGATATTCAGAAAGAGCTTTTCTACTCCAAGTCATTAAAGATGATGGAAGGAAAAGGAATTTTATTGGGTATTATATTTTACAGTCATATTTTCAGTCTCAATGAATGAGACAGATCTGTCCTCCTTCTGCCTGAAATAGAAAGAAAGGCAAGTTTCAGAAAGGTAGTATGTGATGTTCAGATGAGTCTGGAAAGAAAGTCTCTGAGGATTTGCCCTTCTCCACTCCATCATGATCGTAGAAATTTTACTAGGGCAAAGGATTTTAGTGTTCACATGGACGGAAGGAGAATGGCTTTTAGGAATCTATGGATATTTTTTGAGAATGAAATGGTGACATTTTATGCTCTCGGGTAAATGATAATATAATAACATTTTAATGTGCAAAATAAAATTAGCTAATCAAGTGGGCGACTGAGAAACATGGTATTAAACACTAAGAAAACAGTGCCAATTTTATCCCATAAGATCTAGTGCGTGATATATGAAGATAAAAATATTGTTGCTCTGATATAAAGCGCAGTCAAATAACCATAGAGATTTAGTTCTCAGTATTACTTAGTTTTAATAGATAATGCCACTCTTTTATGGCAAGAATCAGAAAGTAGGTCTTTACCTATTTTATATTCTCTTTTCCTTGTTTAATTCTATAAATTAATAAAAAAAGACTTATTTAATTCTGTAAAAATGCCAACCTTAGTACCAGGCAAATAGATAAGGTAATCTTCATATGGAAATCACTGTAATTATATAAAATCAGATTCACTTTTTATTTTTATGAAGAAACAGATATTTCCATGGTTTCTAAAAATCATAGTGGGCTTTGATTCTTTAAAATGACAGCTGTTATTAAGAGAATCAGAAACTTCCATGGTGAGTCAAACAATGAAGATGAGAATAAAGACAAAAATCAAATTAAATCAAAAAGATTCTTTAAGTTGATGTTCCTGTAGCCCAAATGTCACCACACCAGCAGGCCACTGTTGTCTTGTGGATAAGCCAACACAGGAGAGGTGGCTGTCTCATTCCTTGGCTGCAGGGTTTCTGGCTTTAGCTACAGGGGTCTGCCCATGAGGAATATAGTATGCCATTCTGCTAAGTAGTGATTTTTGTTGCCAGGGAAGAAACAACCCCATTTTACAAGATTGAGGGGGAATGTTAAGCAAGTATTTGAAGGTAAAGTGTCAGAAAAACAACTTAGCCCCAAGGAAAGGGATTGTTATAATATGTAGACAGGAAATAGCAGGAAACAACAGAAGCATGCCCGGACTCCAACAACATGGAACGATTTAACATCAGACAGAGCCAAAGTCTCTGAACTAGGCTCAATAGTTTAGAGCAGAGATAAGAATGGGTTGCTATGACACAGCATGAAATTGGAGCTTTAGTAGAAGTACAATCATAAACAACATGCCCCCACTTTTTTTGATCTCCACTTTCACAAATGTTTATTGATACACTTAATATCTCATTTAAAACTCACATGTCTTATGGTTTTAGTAGGAATGGAAACTCAGGAATAGAGAACATGGGACAGCATTCGGGTTAGTGTGTGAATCATTTGGGATTATTTCAAAGGAAGAGAGGCAAGTCGAGGAGAGTTCATTGGGACAGTGAAGGCTTTCTGTGTCCAACTACTAGGCTTAAAGACACCACACACACACACACACACACACACACACACACACATATATATATATTTCAGGATAAAAACATTCTTCCACTTGATTTAAAGTTTTTAAGCATTGGCCTTTGATATATATTGGTTTGAGGGACATTGGCTAATTCTTCTTTTCTTAAATTTCACCTGGTTCAGAGTCCTAAATTGAGAATATGAAGATTTAGGCTAGAACTTTTTAGAAGGCTGTTAACAGTGAACAACCTAAGATTTTCTTGTGGTAATTGTCCACATATTTTAAATGGAATGCAGCCCCCAGACACATGCATACATGTATGTATGAGTGTGCATGTGCACACACACACACACACACACACACACGAGAGAGAGAGAGAAAGACAGAGAGAGAGAGAGAGAGAGAGAGAGAGAGAAAGACAGAGAGAGAGAGAAGAGACTTAATTATATACATTTATTAGCTTAGAGGTGATGTGGGATTAATGTGTTTTATTACCATTGGTCAATAAAGAAGCTACTTTGGCCAATGACAGGACAGAAAATAACTCGGTGGAAAAACTAAACTGAATGCAGGGAGAAAGAAGGCAGAGTCAGGCAGATGCCATGTAGCCACACAAGAAGCAAAATGTGAGGTAACAAACCACAAGCCTTGTGGTAAAATATAAAATAATAAAAATGGGTTAATTTAATATGGAAGACCTAGCTAGGGATATGCCTGAGCTATTGGCCAAACAGTGTTGCAATTAATATTATTTCTGTGTATTTGGTTCCAGGTGGCCAGGAAAAGAAAGCACAGTCTCTTTTTATATAGAGGCTTAAATATAATTTTGTGACTTGTACCAACTTTTCTTAATTGCATAATTCTCTATACAATAGCTCAAGCATACTTTTAATGTTTGGCATTTAATGTTGACATATTCAACTTTAGGATGTCAGATTGAAGCAAACTACTGTTTTTGATGTAGGATTGAGGGCAGTGGTAGAATACTTGCCTGGAACATATGAGATCTTGAGTATAATTCCCAGACAGCTCAAAACTGAAAAAGAAAATTGTAGCCACCTTCAGTTTTTGCTTGAGGGCCTGATGTATTGCTTAGTGGTAGAGACATAGGCCACATGCACAAAGCCATGCATTTAAACTCTAGCACCAGAAACACACACCCACACACACACACACACACACACACACACACACACATACACACACACACTCAGTAAAATCTTTGTATGTAAGTGCTATAACTCTTAGAAAAATGATAATATAACATGCTCTTACAAATTTGCTGATACTTTACCACACATAGTTAATATATGTGTGAGTGGTGAGAGTCATGACTGTCTAAACAAGGGACTTCTGCTTTTTTGTTATGTTGACAATCTTTATTTTTCTTCCTCAGTATTCTGACTCCAAATACCACCTGAAGAAGAGGATCAGCTCCCTGACTTTGCCGATCGTTCCATCTTCTGAGGCCAGCAAAGTCCTCAGCAGAACACCCATCTTACAATCAACGCCTGTCCCTCCCCCTCCACGCTTACCAGCTGGTGGGGGCTCTAGCAAAATAGACCAGTATTCTCGAATCCTCTTCCCAGTAGCATTTGCAGGATTCAATCTTGTGTACTGGATAGTTTACCTTTCCAAAGACACAATGGAAGTGAGCGGTAGTGTTGAATAGTTTGTAGCCAGGACAACCTGGATGCTGCAGTTTCTCATTTTCCTCACTGACAGCAACACAAATTATTGAGATTTGTATAGATAGTCTCCTTTCAGATATGAAGTGAAAGCTGAATACCTGTAATTCATAATGCGGAATAAGCATGTATGGGCCCAAAACAATGATGTTACTCTTCAAAATTGAATTAAAAGGCTACTGAGAATATGGCTTTTCTATGCAATAAAATAATTAATAATAATAATGTATACAGATAAGGTAGATTCAGGGTGATATTGCCAGCCTTTATTTTCATTGGTCAATATTTTTAATTGTCACTCTGAATAACATTTTCCACAAGGCAGACAAACTCAAACATGCTAAAGCTTGCCTTAAAGTTGTTTATTTTGGCTTAGTTTCTAGTCTAAATATTTATTGGTACATTTACTCAGCATGCTGGAGGCTTTTATGGTTTTACAAGAACTTTCAGTGGCATTGGACAGCTTATATTGAGTTAGGCAGTTCTTTTTAACCTTGCTGTGTTCTGTTACCTCAATAAAATGTGGCACTATATACATATAAATAATACATAGTTTATAAATTATGTATGCATATGTACATAGCTTTAGTTTTGCTGCAATACTGTTCCTACTTCCCACTGAATTCACCTTTAAAATAATATGTTTGCTACAACACCAGGAGGTTTTAGGAAGGTCACTTTGTGTATGATGACTGTATATTCTGATACGGTTACCACTCACTCATATGTTCCACTTTCCTAAATATAATATTAAATAAAATTATAACAAGCCTGCATCTTTGGTTCTGATTCATAAAGTTGGAGAGACAAGTTTTCTTAGGTACTGAGACACAACCTGGCTTTTTCTTGCCCAGTGTTTGTAACACCTGCTCTGAGATACAGGCACTATGAGACAGCCAGGCTCAGTGAGCGGTTGAGAAGCCTTGAGTCATAGTCAAACAGTTACTGCTTCCTTTTGCTTCTTCATAATCAACAGTAAAATCTAGATGGGCTGTCTCTTCTCTCTTTTCCCCAGTTCTTGATGATCCTTCTTTGCTTCTCTTACATAAAATTACTCTAAGGAAAGAGAAATCAGGGGTAAGAAGGTACACGCAATGCAGTCTTTTCAAACGGACTGAATCTCAGAACCCATCCACCTACCAAAAGAATACTTTGGTTATAATATCTTGTCATTTTTCATGAAAAACACCCACTACAAATAAACAATTTCAATTTTTTTTTTTTTTTTTGGATTTTCGAGACAGGGCTTCTCTGTAGCTTTTGGGTTCCTGTCCTGGAACTAGCTCTTGTAGACCAGGCTGGCCGCAAACTCACAGAGATCCGCCTGCCTCTGCCTCCTGAGTGCTGGGATTAAAGGGGTGCACCGCCTGGCTACAACAATTTCAATTTTAATTGAAATATATGGCTACTAAGGATAAAAAGAGCTATCTCTATCCAACTTACTTATTGTTTTATTTTTTTTTTTAGCAACACTGCACTTTTCATTGTTTTTAATTGAGCTATATATTTTTCTCTGCTGCCCTCCCTTCTTCCCCTCTCCTCTGATCCTCATGCTTTCAATTTACTCAGGAGATATTGTCTTTTTCTACTTCCAATGTTATCTACATCTTATCTAGATCTATGTATGTTTCTCTTAGTTGTCTCTTAGTTGTATATCTCTCTTTGTTGTCTAGTTTTTCTGGGCTGTGATTTGTAAGTTGTTTTTTCTTTGTTGTATGTCTAAAAACTACTTATGAGTGAGTATATATTATATTTGTTTTTTGAGACAGAGTATTTTCTGTAGCTTTGGAGCCTGTCCAGGTATTAGCTGTTGTAGACCAAACTGACTTTAAACACACAGAGATCTGGCTCTGCCTCCCAAGTGCTGAGATTAAAGGTGTGTGCCACCTTTGACTGGCCATATTGTTTTGTTTCTTACTCAAGTATATTTAAATTCTTGTGGACTATTTCTATTTTCATTTGTAGAATAGAACAACTGAAGTAGATTCTTCCAACGATCTCTCTGTACTGAAAGAAAAATATGCTATTTATTTTATATACACAAAATGAAACAATTACACAGGGTCCATATCTCCTTTAGGGAGACTATTAAGTAATTAAAAGCCAGTTGGTTTCCATCATCAGCTAAGCTAGGCAATATTGAGTTTTCATTTTAATTCTGTCAAACATATTCTGCTATTTTCTCCATTTAAAGATAAAAAATAACAACAACTACAAAAAAAAAAACTAGATGCCAAGAATTCTAAAGTGAGTAAAGAAAGGTGCATAGGAGAGGATTGGAGGGAGGGAATGGAGGGGTGCATTCCCTCTTGTAATTATAGTTTAATTTATATATTAGAATAATAAACCAAGATACCCAGAGCATGAAAAAAATTGTTTAAAATCAACTCTCTTACACAATCATGCCTTGGCACAGGTATTATACCATAGCTCATTCACTAACCTTAATCACACCTGTCCCCGTCTAATGAATCATGATTCCTAATCCCCTTTCTTCAGTGCCCTCTCATGCCATGTTTCATTTCCCATAATTGTTCTTCTGGCATCTCACATCTTGCATATCATTTCCCATTTTCATTCTGAATCTTATCATAATGAGCATTGCTCTCTCTTTGCAGTAGAAACACAGAAACATGTAAGGACTAAAGATCCCTCTCTAATAAAAGCTATTGAAAAAATCACTCCATCAAATAATAAAACTTCCAGTTTAGAACTGTAGGGAATGCTATCACTCAGCGTATGCCCTGGAATGGTAATCGAGACTACTTGAAAAGAAAAGAGTTTCCCCAGTCAAATAATTTGGAGAAGAGATGCTGAGTCAATATTAAAACAGGTTTCTCTTCTGCTAGACTTCCCGCAGCCTTTATTGCCCTCATGTGTGCCAAGCTGTTAATAGTTTGCTGTGGGAAGATCCCATTTCCTACCTCCTTATGACTGTGAACTTCACTTTGTAAAAGAAAATCTTAGCGCTAGCATTCCCTAGGAAACAATATGGGAAACACCACTTTAGGTACCATTTACATGATTCCCTCTATTAGCCCCCAATTAAGCAGACATGGAATTGAGTGTGCGGATGGGGACTCTTGTTCTCACAGCTATTAGAAGCCATATTATGACTGTAAAATAGAAATCAAGCTATGTTTTCCAGTAGAGAGGATTTAAAGTGTGAATGTCTGCTAAGCCACAGAGAGATGTGAACTCTAGGAAGCAGATAAAATTAAGGAATGGAGAGGTTTATAGAATCTACAAGTAAAGGAAAGAGGACATAGAGCAGGACTCTGCCATCTGAATAGAGGACAGCAGCAAGGTTGTTAAAAAAAAAATCTAAGCACTTTGTGAAGAAAGCTTCTGGACTGGGAACCATTCTTTCTAAGTTGATCCTCAGTTGGTCCTGTAGCTCAGCTCACTGGGTTCCCAGAGCTCAGGCTCGGCCCTGAGTGGATTGAAAAAAAAGCTCCTGCACATGGGGACCACATCTTAAGGATGTTTTGCTTGTTTGAAACTAACATGCTTAGACGGCATAAAGTTTGCTGATTCTGGGATTATATGATCTGGAGATGGGAAAGAATTGCATCTCAAAATGAAATGAGCACTGAAGGACAAAGTGAGTCAACAAAAGAGAACAGATTTTTTTTTCCTATACTCTTGCTTTCCTCCGTCCATTGATGGACAAAAGAAGAAAATTACAGCTTCAACTCATGCATCAGAAAGTGGGGAATGAAAGGTTAGATACTGAGCCAACAAATATTTGTTTAATTTAGTATATTAATAATATATACATATTTTGTGCATGTTTATTCTGCTTTGCAATAATAAGATGCAATTATCCTTAATACAAACAACATGCAAACCCTTATAAGTTTTCAAAAGAGCATACACAAAATCCTGAAAGTCATGTGTGTGTTCGTGTGTGTGAGTCTGAATGCAAATGCACATATGCTTTGGTCTGTGTGCAGAGGCCAGAGAATGAGCAAAAATGTTTGTCTTCACCTTCCATCTTGTTTGAGACAGGGCTTCTTTAGTATTTGCTGTTGTATATGTCGGATTATCTGGCCATGAGCTTCTATTCTTTGGAAGCCCTAGCAAGGCAGCTGTGCATTTTGTTATCCAATTTTCTCGGGTTTTGAGAGTTTGAACACAGGTCCTTATGCTTACACAGCAAGTGCTCTACCTACTGAGCCATCTCTCCCATCCTCAGACATTTTCATCTGTTTTTACATAACATCCATAGTATGTATTTCTGACTACTAATAATTACCCTTCTAATAAAATGATAATCTCACCTCAAAACTATTTTGAAATAAATCCATTGTGAGATCATTTGTTATGGAAAAAGCACATATATTAAAATAAATAAAAATGTAGAAGAGCCACCAAAACATTATTTCCTATAAACTTACCATATTTCTATAGGATATATATATATCTATATATATATATATATATATATATATATTGACAGAGGTTTTTCTGCCCACTCCCTCAGCCATTCAGTCCCAAAGAAACACACAGAGGTCTACATTAATTATAAACTGGTTGGCCTATGAGCTCAGGCTTCTTATTAACTCGTATAACTTATATTAACCCATAATTAGCCCCCTAGCTTGGAACTCTTTATCAATGAGGCATTCCCATCTTGCTTCCTCTGTGTCTGCAGACTGAGCCTTTCCTCTTCCCAGAATTCTCCTGTTCTGGTTTCCCTGCCCATACTTCCTGCCTGGCTACTGGCTAATCAGCATTTAATTAAACTAATGCAATGGACAAATCTTTACAGGGTACAAGACTATTGTCCCACAGCATATATACCTATATCTATATCTATATCATCTAATAACAAGGAATAAAATATGCATGGCTACTACATTCTCCATTTCTGTAATTATTTGTTATTATAACCCATATTTGGCCTTAATAACTGATCTTCTGTTAGTCTTTCCTCTCAGTCAGCATCTTATTTGTTTTATTTGGGGTTTTTTACCCAGAAAAATCAATGAAAGGTGCTGATGGAGGAATAAGACAGCATCATCACTCTCAGAAAGACTCTTTAAGGTCTCAGAAAGCCTTGCAGTTCTGAGATTCCCAACGTTACCTGAGACCACTCACTGTCCAAAAGGTCATCTGGCATATTTCTTCTAGGCAAAATAACAAGTATAAGAGTTTGGTATAGGAGATATACAAGTATCCCCGGATACTTCATTACTATAGAGATCATTTTCACTGACTGAGATGAGGGTTCTTGTTATGATTTAGCCATGCCATTTCCCCCATTCATAATGCAGTATTCCGTGGACATGACCAAATAGAACCTAACATCTTTTAGAAGCAAATGCAGTTCAGATAGAAACTAGCAATTATTTTTAAGGATAGGACACAAAGAAAAGGCATTTTATATTATCTTCTTGGGATATGATCCCCGATGAATTGGAGTCCAGAACTTCAAGAAGGAACCAATCCTAAGCAGGATGAGGCTAATGCTGGGAAGATAATATGGACCTAAAACCCGACCTAACTGCTGTTTCCAGGCAGGAGTGTCATTACACGGAAAGGTTTAATACCAGAACAGTATTGGGTATAAGGTGAATATTGCTTATTCCTTTTTCTCTTATCTATACATTATATACTGAAGCATATTATGATAAACAGGACAAAGTATCTAAAGAGGATACTGTTCATTTCAGTCATAGTATGATGGAGGAAGGTCATTGGTTAAATAAACTGCCTTGGCCCTGATAGGTTAAAACATAGGTGGGTGGAGTAAACAGAACAGAATGCTGGGAGGAAGAGGAAGTGAGCTCAGACTCGACAGCTCTGCTCTCTGGAGCAG